AGCTGAAACTTGGAGAACTACAACAACCACCATCAAGAAGGTACAAGTATTTATAAATAGCTGCCTACGCAAGATACTCAACATCCATTGGCCGGATACCATCAGCAATAGCCTTCTGTGGGAGAGAACAAACGAGCTTCCAGCTGAAGAAGAAATTAGGAAAAGACGATGGAAATGGATAGGACATACATTACGCAAATCGTCAAACCGCATCACAAGACAAGCCCTAACTTGGAATCCTGAAGGGAAGCGAAAAAGAGGAAGGCCTAAGAACACATTACGTCGGGAAATAGACGCAGATATGAAAAGGATGAATTACAACTGGAAGGAGCTGGAAAGGGTTGCTCAGGACAGGGTTGGATGGCGAATGGTGGTGAGCGGCCTATGTTCCTTCACGAGGAGTAACAAGCGTAAGTAAGTAAGTAAGTAAGATTCACGTTGAAGAACTTTGAAAGGTCCATCGTATGCTGATTCGAATGGTCGTCGATGCGGGTCTCGACGAACGGAAACGTGTGTACTATATCGTAAGTCAAGTTGAACGAAAACATCAGTTGATTGAGGTCGAGTGGAAGCAGGTTTAACTGAACGCATTGCGTTTGTAAGCCTGTTCGTGTAGGAGGTTAGATCCATGTTCATCGAAGAGCACGAAGGATCCACGAATTCTCCTGGAAGTCGAAGTGTCGTTCCATAAACGAGTTGAGCCGCAGTGTATCCAATGTCAGCTTTCACTGCATTGCGGATACCTAGTAAGACGAGTGGAAGAGCGTCGGTCCATTGTGAAACGTTTGCAGCTGATAGCGAAGCTTTCAGTTGTCGGTGAAAACGTTCTACCAACCCGTTTGCTTGTGGGTGGTAGGCGGTCGTTCGGAAGCGAGTGATTCCTAAAAGTGTGGTCAGACGACGGAAAAGATCAGATTCAAACTGACGTCCGCGGTCTGTAGTGATGGTTGAAGGGCAACCGAAGTTTGCTACCCATCGTTCGACGAATGTGCGGGCCACTGTTTCAGCAGTGATGTCCTTGATAGGTACTGCTTCTGGCCATCGAGTGAAACGGTCTACGCAGGTTAAGAGATAAGAGTATCCATTTGAATCTGGTAAAGGTCCTACCAAATCCAGATGAACATGGTCGAAACGAGCATCGGGAGTTTTAAACGAGCCTAAGGGACATTTATTGTGTCTGATAACCTTAGATTTTTGGCAGCTTACACAGGAGCGTGCCCACTCCCTCACGTCTTTATTCATGCCAGGCCAGCAAAATCGTTCTGCTATAAGCTTGATGGTTGCACGAACACCTGGATGAGAAAGTTTGTGCAATGTGTTGAAGACATTGCGTCGATAATGTTTCGGCACGATTGGGCGATCCCTACCTGTAGATGTGTCACAAAGTAAGGTTTCCTTACCTGTTCCCATCTGTTTGATGCGTAGTTTAAGTGTTGTGGACGATAACTCGTGCTGAAGATCAGTGTCTTCTTTTTGAAGCTCGGCGAGTTTAAGAAGGTCGATTCCTTGGAAACTGTTCAAGGAAGTTATGCGAGATAAAGCGTCTGCAACTACATTGTTTGCTCCAGAGATGTGTTGAATATCTGAAGTAAACTGCGAAATGTAGTCCAGTTGTCGAGACTCACGGGGAGAGTACTTGTCAGAAGGAGAGCTTAACGAGAAAGTGAGCGGTTTATGGTCCGTGAAAAGAGTGAATTCACGGCCTTCGATATAGTGTTGGAAATGCCGTACAGCACAATACATAGCTAGGAGTTCCCTACCGAATGTGCTGTACCTCGATTCGGTGTCTAGCAACCTTCTAGAGAAAAATGCCAAGGGTTGCCAGGAGTTGTTAACCCATTGTTGTAAGACTCCTCCGATTGCTGAGTCGGATGCGTCTACTGCGATGCTAATGGGTGCTCGGGTGTCCTGATGTGCGAGCATTGTTGCTTTAGCAATCAGTTCCTTAACTGTGGAGAATGCTTTTCGTGCGGTGTCGTCCAAATTAATGGATTTCGCATTTCCACGAAGTTGGTCGGTCAGAGGTTTCATAAGTAATGCGCATTGGGTATGAAACGTCTATAGAAACTTACCAGGCCGTTGAACGTGCGTAATTGCTTGACGGTGGTCGGTTCTGGGTAATCCAGAATGGCCGCCACTTTGGTTCTAAGGGGTCGGATACCTTGAGCATCGATAGTGTGTCCCAGAAAGTCTAACGAGTCGGTTCCAAATTGGCATTTCTGAACGTTTACAGTTATGCCATGTTTTTGTAATCGTTCGAAAACAAGGTCCAGATGCTTGAGATGTGTTTCTCTGTCCGGACTTGCGATTAGACAGTCGTCAACATACGCGTGTACGAAGTTGAGACCTCGAAAAACGTCGTCTATGAATCTTTGGAATGTTTGAGCAGCATTCCTTAGACCGAAAGGCATTCGCAAAAATTCATAGAGTCCGAAGGGAGTTATGATAGCGTTTTCGGTATGTCGTCAGTAGCCATAGGGATTTGGTTATACGCTTTAACCAAGTCGATTTTCGAAAAGACAGTTGTACCTTTCAAGGTAGCTGTCAAATCGTGAATGTGAGGCAACGGGTAACGATCGGGAATGGTTTTCGCGTTCAATCGCCGATAGTCACCAGTTGGACGCCAATCGTTGCTGTCCTTTTTAGGGACCATGTGCAACGGAGATGCATATGGGCTACTTGACGGTCGTATGATTCCTAAGTCCATCATGTGATCGAATTCGTTTTTCGCTAACCTTAGCTTTTCAGGAGCTAGTCGTCGTGCTTTAGAAATACAGGTGGTCCTGTAGTCGTGATGTGATGTGTAACATTGCTGGTTACACACGGTAGTTTCGTTGAGTTTGTTGTATCCCAGGGTACTTATCGAGTAGTGGTTGATAGAGTGGGTCTATCATATGTTTAACTGTGACTGGGGATACTCTACAACCAGTAAAAGAAGTTACGCAAACGGACAAATTAGTGTTTCCGTTTGCGAGTGTCGATGATCAGATTGTGGTGTTGTAGAAGGTCCATACCAATGATTGGCATAGAAACATCTGCAACGACGAAAATCCAGTGGATGGGTTTGCGTAAACCCACGTTAAGGTAAACGTACCTTTTGCCATACGTAGCGATCGGTTTTCCGTTTGCCGCCTGTAAGTTTAGGGTCGATTCGTGAAGTCGGTCGTTAGGATTTGCTGGGAGAACGCTAACTTCTGCGCCAGTGTCGACGAGGTAGCGAACTCTCGTTGTCACATCTGTGACGAATAACAGACGGCTTTGTTCGCCGGCTACGGTTGCCGTTAACGCGTGCCGGCTTGGAAGTTTCCCGAGTTGCCTTTCGAATCAGTCGGTTTCGTGTTGGGAAAATTGCAGGGTTTTCTGCAATTTCTGGAAAACTTTCCATACTGGTTATGATACCAGCACCAGTCGGGGTTATCTGTCTCTCGTGGTCTAGAGACAGATCGCTTACGTGAAATGCTTCCACGTGGGGTGCGTGATCGCTTACGGTCGTTACGAAAATTAAGATAATGCGTAATTGTATCACATAACTCGGTTATATCATGCTGAGCCGTTTGAGGCTTTTCTTTGAGTGAAAAAAACCTCGGCATTAAGTTTCGCAATTTCTAAAATACGATCAGCAGATGCAGCCAGCTCGTCTAAGGCGTTGTTCTAAAACGAGACCAGAACCGCTCGCACCTGTTGGGAAAGTTTAGGCAAGATAAGTTGTTTGAACAGGCCTTTGTCGAAAGTTCTTAGGCCAATAACCTCTCTCATCCTTTGCAACATGTCCGTCGCAGAACCGTGTTGCAGGTCTATGTTACTAAAGAGTTGGTCTAATCTTTGTCGATCGGTTAGGCCTTCTCGTTTAAGAATCGAACGTTTTAAGGTTTCGTAAGGTTCAGAAACCACTAGTAAACATACTAGGTGTTACGTACCTGTTGAATTCCCGCGGTAGTGCCTTGACTACTGCGAGGAATTGTGCACGTGTAACGTTCACGTCGTGCTCGTGGAAGTCGAGTTCTGCGTAGCAGAACCAGGCTTCGATATTGTCGGGCCAGAAGGGCATGAGTTGGAACGAGGGTGGGGACATGGTCTTAATCTTAAATACCTTAGGGGTCTGTTCGGTCATAGGGGAATATTAAGTACGAGAATACACGAGTGAAAAATATATAGATATCCAAAAACGCGGGAAAAAATCTCGCAATGTATAAAAAATTAAAATAGAGCAATGATATATAGAATCCCAAAATGGAACAGACTCAAAGTTTACGATTTGGTGTACCAGATCACGTCGTGCTCACAAATGAAGATGGCACAGGTATTCAGTGTTTGACAACGCTTTTACCAGCAACACCTTCCAATATAACTCGTACCCACCAAGAGAAATCAAAAGACAGAATCAAGGAGATTAGAAGTTGTATTTAACGATTGCCAATGTATCGGAATTATCTGATCTAATCTGGCTAGCGATTGCAGTAGCAGTTGAGCACGGCGTTCCCACACGTGATCTGGTGCGGATGCATGACCGAGGCCTTCAGCTAGGTGAATCCATTAAAACATGTGGTCAGCATCCAATGTCGAAAACTTACAGGGCTATTTATTTTGGGGACTTATTTACCGCTGCAGGAGTTTTAACGAAGGCGTCGGACGAAGGCATATGTTCCATATGCATTTTTTTCGGTGATATATCACGAGGGTGTTGTAAAAGAGAAGGGAAAATAAAGGGTTGAGGAGAGCAACAAACAGCGTTCATGACTAGTGAAGCCTAGTAACTTGTAATGGAATAAAGCTCATGAGAACTTTGACTTATTTCCTTAAATGTAGCTAAACAGGTTAAAAAAATGGGCCAAAGTATGGTGACGAATGGACAAATGCTGTATACAATCCATTTATATATAAATAGAAAAGAATCAAAAGAGCTGAAAGTCTAAGTTTATGTTCCAATCTTCAAAGTCTGATTGTTTGTGCAGTTCCCTTTTGGATTGTGTAGGCGGAAATTTGATGGTGTGTGTTACCCAATGACTTTACCGACTACTGATGATTTGTACTCATGTTATGATAAACTAACCGACAGTTCTATAGATTTAAAGGAGGTTGTGACTGTGATTTTCTAATATTTCGTCTATTATTAGAGAGAAAATGCCTACAAAACAGTACTTGTAGGTGTTAAAGGCGATGAAAATGCAAAGAGATTGTCAAGTCAGTTTATAGCAAGATTTAGCAAACTTTTCGAGAATCTACTGGAGGAAAGTTTCAATTGTTTTCTGGATTTGTGTGACGATGACGATGTTAACGTTCGAAGCCAAGTGGTGCACGATTTGTTACAGTTTTGTAAACATGCACGGGTGTTCGTTCCACGTGTTGCTGATGTTCTCGTTCAAATGTATCAAACAGATGATAAAAAGGTAATTAATCTTAACTGGTGTGCGATGTTTAGGAGCTGAATGTAATTTCTCTGGCTTTGTCTCAACTACTTCATTCGGAGCCGAAAGCGACCTTACTAGGAATATTCAATCGACTTCTTTCAATGAATGCAGAAAATTCTAGAGAAAATACTCTCAAATTCCTATGTGAACGTTTAAAAAGTCTACCAGATAGTGTACTAACCAGTGATCTGGAGTCTTTTGTGGTTGAACAAACTAATCGAGTGCTGCATGATGTTTCTGAGGATGAGTTTCCAATGTTAATCTCTTTACTATCATCCCTGAAATGTATGTCTACACTGACTGGCAGGCAAAAACTAGTCGGTATGATCTCTCAACAAGCTTTGCAGGCCGTTCCTACATTCAATGTAAGTCAGTTCGAAGTTGTGGTAATATGTAAAGGCTAGTGATCGGGCATGTATAGCTCAAGTTCGGAGAGTTGTAGACAGGCTGCCTTATGTATATCTGTAAGTCACTTTATTTTATAGATATTTCCTAAACAGAAAAACGTTAATGCTCATGACTTGTACATTTACATGTTGGAAAAATTCCTACCACAATTTGGTGACTTTGCTGAAGACACTTTCGACGAACGACTTAGCTTACTTCAATTGACCGCAGAGCTACTGTTTTTCCCAAGTCCAGCACTTGCATCGATAAAGTCAGAGGATATAACAAAATATTTAAACTTTGCTTTTAATATACTGTCAATGTTCTTGCCTAACATCCCTTCGGAAGAAACAGCTGACAACGTGGGTCACAAATATTTTTTATTAATAATCTTTAGATGAAACAGCCTTCTGTAGAAAAGCCAACGTTAAACCAGATGGGTTTGAAGTTTTCGGAGTTAGAGGCAAGTTTGTTTTTATGCTGCCAGCTTGGATGTTATTATCCTCAATATTTTGGGGGGAAAGCGAATGATAATGAACCTGAGTTATCTGCTATCGAAGATGGAGTCGATAGATTACGTAGTGTCAGACCTCGTCTCCAGTACTTAAGTCAGCTAGCACAAGATTATGCAACAACAATATCTGGTCAGTTGGATAAGAATTTACAATCTGAAGAGAGCAAGCTTCGAATCATGGCTCACAGAGTGAGTTCTTTAGCTTTTCCAATAATCTGTTGAGGATATTTTATGGTCTCGGTTTTATTCGAATTGATGTTCAAAACTAAACAAAATGTCTGATTTAATAGGTAACTCCAATGTCACAATTAAGACTACTCAAATTTATACTTATAGCTCAAATCAACAGCTATTCGTATCTTGAGCAGTGACCAGGTATGTTAAAAAACCATGTGACGTAATTGATAGGGCCCTTAAAGTTTTATGGTGATATATATTGTGGCCTATTTGTCGAGCACAGGTTTATGTATTTGACTTCAAGACAATTTTTACCCTAGGAGTCATGATAATACCATGCTAGCTACCTTAACTACTAAGCCACAACAGGAGGTGGGATCAATAAATGGAGAAAAATAGGTAGAATTTACAGAAATACAAACATAATATGCTGGGAATAGTCTCAGCATTAAAACACTCGATTTGATCAGTAGCCATCTTTAGTAAATTTTTCATTTTGTGCCATCAGCTTTAAAGGCTTGCGTTGCTATCTACAGCTCAATAGATCATAACTTTGCTTCTGATTACTGAAAAGAGATTAACTCAAGCAGTATATTCTTCTAAAACTGAACCTATTGTGAAGACAACCTATTTCATACAGTGTAATTTGACCACTACTTATGTTAATTGCCAAGCAACTGATTCTGTGTATGTTTGCAAACATTTCTTGGCTTCCATTGGTAAATAGAATTAACCAATATCGTTCAACACACCCCACTTTAGAAGGACTTATCTTTCTTGTATGGATCTTCTTAAACGATTTGTTTAACCTAATTTCTACAAAGTGAGCTAAAAAATGGGGTATATTCGGCTCAATTAAATGTATTATTTATTTATTTGAACATATGAACATTGGTACAGGGGGCACCAAATGCATATGCGCCGCACAACAACAATAAGGTTGAGAAGAGATAGAAGATGTAAAGTGCTTATAATAAGAAGAACAGCGGACAGAAATCAGTGTATGAGAGTGGAATAATAATGGTAATCATGGGAGAAACAGTTCAGTTAGCAAAAATATGACCAGAAAGAATCCTTTCAGTTAAAGAAGTTACGTTCATTTTTTATGAAGAAAGTAAAAGACAGTTACAGCAAGATCTCCACTAGCTTCTATTCCGAGACATATCTGATAACGTGTCTAGCCACTATGTTTCACCATCTGTAGGACCCCATCCAGGGAGTTGTGAAGGATCAACAGACGTCAGTTCCGCACAGCTTTCCTTCATACCACCACACCATGTCATACACTGACTGCTCGACTTTTTCCAACAAGTCCCAATGTCGGCAAAGAATCCACGACGTGGAATTCTCTGGGACAACATTCGTAGGATATGCCCAAATCACCGAAGTAGATGTTTCAAGATAGTGCCGCCAATTGAATTATCGTCGCTGTACCCGAACACACGATGCCGTACCCCCGCATTACTAACATGGTTTTGCCACTGGATTCAACAGTCAGAGACAAGGATTATCAAACACAGAGAGTCGTCTAACATCCTGAACTCGGAGATGTCAGGTTTGATAAGCATAAAGCACAACTGCTCTCATTGACGTGTTGTGGATCTGACCTTATACAGCCAGACTAACATTACGAATGTGTCAAAGATGGCCCAGATTGGCATAAGCCGCTGTGGCTTTCACTATACGTGGATCGATCTCATCACTAACGCTACCACCAACACTTATACAGCTACCCAGACACACGAATTTGACTACTTCTGTCTGCTCACTACCTAGGCTGAGTGCAGGATCAAGGTCCTGCTACTCTTGTAAAAGTACTTTCATAGATTAACTCACTTGAAACAAGCTTTCCGAAGCGACAGATGGAGAATGAATTTGTAGTACTTCACCAGGGTCTTGAATACGGATCTCGGATAGATAACGGACATCGGTGTTAAGACTTTTTAAAGATATGGTCAACCCTATCTGTTGTCGGATTTGCATTGGTGTGGGAACGTCGAAGAAGGCCAGGTTGGATGACATATGCGGTTTCAGAGTGGTTGGTTCAGCATTCGAAGTTGGTGGTAGTATTCAACCTTCGACCAGTCAGTGACTTGAAATCGTCTATATAGAACAGGGTTTTCACCATAGGCGAGCTGCTGTATAAGCTGAAAAATAAAATACGCAAAATGAGAATAAAGGCGAGTACGTAAGGAACGCAGTATAAAACAAATAATAAACAAACGATTGTGAATATGATTTGTCTGAATGAGCGTTGAAACAAAAGCAATTTTTCCAGTAGTAACTATCACTGATTTGTGTGGGTGCTGGGACACTGCTCAGGTGCCCAGATCGAAGTAGGTGATTTTCTTGGGGGGCCACACCCCTAGCTTTTCACTGAAAGGTCTAATCGACAAGGCAGTGGAGCAACGTTGGGAAATGGAGTCCCATGATAACCGGTGGCCAACAATAGTTTCGTACGCCATCCGTTCCCCCAGGATGTACACCATTTGTTTGAAATGGGGGTTTCCCAACTCCCCTAGGTGGACCCCCCATATCCACCGACCCGGTTGACGCGCCGGACATTCGCTTTTCGTCTCCTCAATTTCCTCAAAAACACCCACTTTGCGAAAAGTCAATGAGTAGGACTTCGATGGCAGTGGCTGTATACGCGTGTGCATGTGAGGGCATTTCGATAAGGATAGCGGGCTCTTCCCACCCACTTTGGGAGCGTTAAGTCGTTGTCAAGTTAGAACCTGGCATGAGTGTACGTCGGTCTGATTTGTCACACCTCACTTAAACGCAGCGAGAAAATATCAACATAACTAAATACAGATACTAGGATTCATGATAAAACCTAGCCACATGATTGTAAGATCAGAGTTTAAGTGACAATCATCCCAGTTTTTTCAGTCGTATAGATCAATAAACTTTGCTTATTACTGCGTTCTTGATAGGAAGACGTGTTGTTGTATTGAAGAAAATTTGGTAGTTTTGTATTGCTTTAATTCTGAATCTGATGAGTATCAGAGTGAATTTACAAGAAGAAGAATAAATGTTATAGATTTTTATAAGTAAAATTGTTTATGATGAAGTTAGAAAAAACTGCTGGTAAATGTTCTGAAGGTAAAAACTGAGTGTATATGCAAGTTATATATCCTCAACTTAATTTTTGTGGGCTAATTTTATCATAAAACTTACACAGAACGTGGGTAATCCCAGTGAATATATATAAGTAAATAAGCAATTGTTTTTACATTTGTTACACAGTGCTCATTTTATCTGAAAAAGGACGATCGTACGTTCTGTGGAGCATTTTAGTTTCAAATCACTATGACTTGCAATGCATTTTATAACTATGTACATATTTTCCAATTAATCGAGAGTTAATTTACGTGTAGTATCAGTTAATTTGTTTACTTGTTTCTTTTCTGTTAGCTTATGATGAACATACAGCGAATGATACGGTGCTTTTTTCACAACCCTCCAATGTTCAAAACCATCAATGTAACATTGTCGTGGATTCAATCACCTGTTACTTCGATTCCAGGTACAAAGCGTCCTCTTTCCACGGATTCGGGTAATCACCATAGTACAGGTGTTCGACAACCACGTGGTGATAGACTATTGTATACCCCACCAATCGGTCAGTGGTCTCGTGTTGATACTTTTGATTCGAATAAAGGCAGATTTCGATTTGGTCGTAGTGGTCGGGGGCGTGGACGGAACTTCTGAATTGACATCGTTTGTTTTGTGTTACTTACCCCTCTTCAATTGCTAGCTGTAAAATATTCTCTAACCAGCTGTTGATGCTATTCTGTAATTCAACACATTTTAATACTTGTATTTTTCCTTTTTGTACATGTATGATATTAGTAAACAACATCTCATAATGCTTGGTTTTAATTTTTGTTGTCAGCTGCGCGCATCCCACAGTATTTTAGAAAGCTACTCAGTATGTGAATGTAACAAAGCAACTTGTTGCAACTAGCATTCTAGTCAGGACACATGTCGACTTGTATTCCTTTAGTAGCTTTTTTCGTGAAATGTGGCATCAAAAGAATAATGCACACCAACAAGGAAGTATAACCAAGAAGAGTCAGAGTAATAAAAATTAAATATGCCTCTTATATGGATATAAATATCGTCTATAACATTAACTAGGCGGATAGTTCCCGTTCATCTGGGTCATGATGTCATCCGACTGCACAAACCGAGTCAAATGGTTTTCTGAGGAGACAATCCTCAAATTTTGCCCCCAAGATGTAATCCGGAAATGAATGGAGCAGCGTCAAGGAATACAATCACATGGTAGCCAACGCCCAAAGTTGGCTCATATAGTATTCATTCATCCGCCCAGGACCCTGTAACCCATGAGGATACTGAATTCGAAATCAAGGGTTTCCAACTACCGTAGGCAGACCCTATATATATACACAATAATTCAGTTTAAGCTTCATAAATTTACTACCTTAGCCACACCATGTTAATGTAGTATGTGAAACTTCTTTGCTTGAGGGGATGAATGAGAGAGCAGTTGGATAATGACAATATGTTCTACACACTCAGAAGTATCAGGGTAGTTAGGGCGGAATAATATGGATTTCGATAGTCTTTAATTTATTTCAAAATGCATCAGTAATTTTTAGCATAATTCAGATCACAAAGTAATCTTCTTATAGAGTTCGTGGATGATCTGGACCTATTGATATCCCGGGATAATCAGTTATTAGTTCAAAGCCAAATCATGAGTAGGATATGTTGACGGATGTACGTTGTTGACCAATATTCAGCCTAATTGCCCAAGAGGGACAGACGGGTCAATGGTAAAAAAAATCCGGCTTTATTTTCTGGGGACATCTATATATTTTGATTCGAGTTAGGCAATAAAGGCTTCATATTCGATCTTAGTTTTCTTACTCAAGTGACTGGGTTCGCGCATGAAAACCATATATACAGTTTTTCGACTTAAACGGCCATCCAACAATAAAATATTTAGGAACTGGTTTGTATGACTATCTTTTTAAGATGTAGAACTAGAATGAAACATCCTGAGTTTGGTATAAAACTACACTAGTTCTGTCTGAATTTCTGTTACTTCAATTGTAGCACTACGTTTCAGGTGTAAATCTAGTCTTTTTAGTTTTTATATCCTATTACTTATTATCAATAAGTAGCTTGAATCTGCCGTTCAATTTTCACTCCTAAACTTATCTTAATAAGTAGAAAGATCATGTTAAAATAAATCTTCGCAAATTTTCGCTTTCAAATACGTTTAAATTTAGATATTCATTTGTCCTTACATGCGGTAACCTTGCATGTTTTGAAAATTTTTACTTGTTGAATTTGAAAAAATCAGGAAAGCGCAAAATTCGACGGTTCTACTGTCTGAAATCTCATCCTACGCAATGATCTTAAAGCCAATAAAACTGGAAGTCAGGAATGATGGGATGTGTGCGCATATTTAAATTATTAGCCGTTGTCATACTTTGTAGGGTTCAAGCTGTCTATTTTTCATAGGGAATGCTTAGCACGGCGTACTTTGGTTCAGACGGACTGAGTGCTTTCATTTAAGTATG